ACATAAACATTTTCCGGGAGTAAATACTTGACTTATTGAATAAAGTTTGCTATATTCACTAACTAGTTTGGCAATATTATTCCGTGCATGTGTTAAAAACCTTATTTCCATTTGATTCATTGGATTACTCGCGTGAATGTTTAGCACGTAAATGCTTTCGTTTTTAAAACCGTCCGACCTCGACTACAAAACCATCAACCAGTTGCATAGGATTAAAACATGTCAACACTCACTCACCCCGTCTTAAACATTCCCAAAGAAGTGCCTCTGTCTCTCGTTGTGCTGGATGAAGTCACTGGCGACGAGTAAACCCAAAATAGTCCCAAACAGGCACAGAGGCATTTTTCTTTTTTACTAGTTGTCCGAGTTCGGGGCCGGCAAATGCTGCCGCCATCTTGCTCAGCTCAGCTCTGTGCTGAGCTCTGAGAGCGGGAAAGACGGACTGCCCTCCCCTGCCCTCTGCTGGCGCGTGCTGTGCATTACAACCAATGTCGTCCCTGTCAAAACTCCGTGTCAGTGTAATAGAATGAAACGGATCTGTGATTTGGCGCACAGTCTGTGACGTCACGGTATTGAAAATCATACCGACGGTATTTCCAAATACCCTGGTATACCGTAATACCGTCATACCGCCCAAGCCTAGTTGCTATGCTAACATCACCCATTTTATACCAGAAAAACTTTCATAACAGCGTTGTGATGCCAAACAGCGTCAATTCATACTGACACACATTAAATTAAGGGGAGTTGGGGATATGTATCAGCTCCTGTGTGACAGTCAGACAGTGAATACTTTAGAGAGGCCGCTGCCGTGAGTTAACGGGAGAATAAACTCTGCCGTGAGTTAACGAGAGAATAAAATATGGTGGACAAGCAGCACTGCAGCGGTCGGTAAATGCCGCTAGAAAGACATAAGTATAAGGTTGGAGAAGTAGTTATTTTATTTAATCGTGCGGCATTTACCGACCGCTGCAGTGCTGCTTGTCCACCATATTTTATTCTNTCTTGAAATGAAAGCCGTCAAGCATCATGAGCGAGACAACACTGACTGGCTCCTGCAGTTTCTCTATCTCGTGGACATAACTGGCCATCTGAACCAGCTCCATGTGAAAATGCAAGGTATTGGAAATACAATCTCATCCCTTCAACAAGCAGTGTTTGCATTTGAAAGCAAGCTGGAAGTCTTTCTCAGGGACATTGAAACAGGTCGTCTTCTGCACTTTGAAAGACTGCAACAATTTAGAGATGCATGCTTAGCAAGTGACTCCACTCAACATCTGGATATCCAGCAGCTATCTGGCTTTACGTCCAATCTCCTGCAGTCAAAGCACGTTTTGGAGAATTTCGTGCGCGCACTGGTCTTTTCAAGTTCATCCTCATCCACATGAGTGTGCAGTGGACAAAATCGACCTGACATGCATCCCGGGGTCTCTATCGGAGACTTTGAGCTGGAAGTTGCTGACCTGAAGGCATCAGACATGTGGATGAGTAAGTTCAAGTCACTTAATGGAGAGTTGGAAAGTCTTGCGCGACAGCGAGCAGAGCTGGCGAGGGAACACGGGAAGTGGACAGAAATGAAAAATCTTCAACCTGAAGACCAGCTGATTCTTAAAACTTGGAACGAGCTTCCTGTGACACACCACACAATGCAGCGTGTGAGTATTGCCGTATTGACCATGTTTGGCTCTACATATGCATGTGCAGTCATTCTCGCATATGAGGAACATTAAGACCAACCTACGCTCACGTTTAACTGATGGAAGCCTCAACGCCTGCATGAAGCTCAACCTCACCACGTATGAACCAGACTACAAGGCCATCAGCAAAACCATGCAGCACCAGATGTCGCATTAAAAGTAAGACATATTTAATTTATTATACGTTAAAAATACTATATGGCTCTCAATGAAATATATTTAGAAATATTTGGCTTTTATGGCTCTCCCAGTCAAAAAGGTTCCTGACCCCTGATCTATAGTAACGCAGTGTAGGCGGAGCCGTGACGTCATCTTCAATGAGCTCCCCAGAAAAACAACACAGCCGTTAGCTGTTAGCCCTCTGAGCTCACAGCTCCTCATATCTGTTCAGAAACTAGACAAAAGTTAAACAAGTACAAACCACAGACCGTCTGCGTCATGGCGAATACAGTCGCTGGTTTATTTATGTCTGTATAGGCCGTTATTGTGAGTGTGGACGGTCGGAGCATCCATACGCGCTGCAGTGGAAATGCAGGGAAGCAAAACTGCCATGTCATGCTGGCAGCCATGCTGAACACCCTGTACCGTAGAGCATGCATTTCTGGTACAGTAACAAACAACAGATAACTGTCCTTTACGTTTTGTGAAGACAAGTCTAACTTAAATATACTGTATTTTGTGAATTGTCATAAAGTTATATAGGGCTAGATCATTTTTTACGGTATAATATGTATTGCATGTCTAGCTGAACCAGTAATCCATTGAAAGCAGCAAAAGTATGGTTGCACTGACCACTTTGGGTGACATTTTAAGATTGTTGCATGTGTAGCGTGCTCACTTAATTTTAGTATTCCAGCTGCTAGATGGCAACAACAGCATGATTTAATCTTATATAAAAATAAACTTCAAAAGTATGAACTAAACTACTATCATTTAGATAGAGTTTAGTGTTTAGTGAGTTTCTAAATGTATGCACTGACTGATCTGTTGAAGCAATAAGGAAACATCACTTTTCATACTGCCTTTATGAAAGTGTATTCATAGTCTCAGAAAGTTTAATCTTGCTCTATTTAGATTAAGGAGCAGCAACTGACATTATTTTCCTGAATGTCAAATATAAGGTCCACGGGCCATGCTTGAGGTACAGGCAATAATATTACAAAATACTTTAGTTGTATATTTTAAATGTTTATTGATACAGCCCCATGCTGCTTTGGTTTCAAAAAGGTCTTAACAGTCAAGTAGTTTGATAAAAGAAATTAAGCAGGTCACTGAAACAAGAAACATTTATTTTGTAACAAAGTATCCTTGGCTGTTTCACTGAATAAGTCAATACTGTGCACACATTTAGGCCTTACTGTTTGTAAACCATAACCAATAACCCTCTATAAATCAGAATAAAACATGTGATTCCTACACAGCTAATATTAAAATCATTACTTAACATTGAGATTTTTCTCCTTCATGTTTCAGCAGTAAAATATAAGCAACTAGTAACTGTTTTCAGAAGTCACCTGCTCCACAGTCCCATAATAAATATTGTAACCACAGGAGTAAAGCAGAAGGTGCTGTGCTAAAGATATGTTTACAACATATTTACAGAAATATTCAAATTTCTATACAGACAATGTTATACTAGTTAGACTAGGAAGAGTTTAACATTTTGAGAAACATTTCAGTTAGATGAGAAAATTCATACCACTAGCCTTTGTTTAAAGCTAAAGCCGGGAGCCAGTAAGCTTAGCATAAAGACTAAAGGCAGGTAGAAAACAGCTAGTGGTAAGAACGTAACATGATGGATCCAGATTTTAACTTAATCTGTACAAAAACAGAAAACAAGCACTGTTTTTTTTAATAGAGGATCTTGCAATCTTAACAAATCTCTTGGTAAACAGTCAGGAGCAGTAGAGGCACTGTACAGATTTGTCAGGTTAATGGATAAACATAAATACATTTTTGCACAATAAATTGTGAAGCTACGACTCCCTTACTCGCTTAGTTGAACACATCCAACAAAGGTGTTGCATCATGTTTTAATATGGGTTAGTAAGTGCATTATAAACCCTGACAGAGTGGTAGGTTTTTCTTGTAGCATCCAGTCTTTTTGCTAAACATAGCTATGCACCTCCTGGATCCTGTAAATTCCTCTTGAACAAGAGAAAAGTATTTTCTAATTTCTAATTGCTACTTAAACTGTTGAATTCTGGGAGCTGTTTGGTCATTCTCCTGACTGCTTACAAACGGAGAAGTGAACAGTGGTGGTGCAGCCACTGAAATGGAGTTTGAGACTGAATTGATATGAGTGCTAGTGCCTACTGCCACGGAAGCAGTGGCTGCTGGGTAAAAATGGACATCTACTGCCACTGTAGTGAGGCCCAGGGAGACTTGGTGAGAAAGAAGCAGGGGGTGGTTGCCATGTGAGATGCTGAGGCTGTGGTGGATGGGCGCTCCACCTGCCTCAGCACTTTGAAGGGTTAATGAGGAGCGCAGGCCCTCCTGATGCCTTGATGGTGGAGAGGGGGAAGGTGAATGGGAGGGTAAAGACGATGGGGGAGGCAGGACATTGTGGCATGGGCTGCAGCGGTTATCTCCTCTGCTACTGGTCCAGTCCTCAGCACACTGCAGCTGGATGCTGGGCTGGGACAAACTGCTGCGCTTCTCCTCCTCCAGAGAGGGATCAATCTGAAATAGTATAACGACGATAATGCACATTTAACTAATTGAATTAACTATAAGGTAACATTTTAGCACCATGAGATGTCGAAAGCTATGCAGTTCTCAAACTTGAGAGGCAAATGTAGAACAAGAGAAGGTCACTGCAGTGGTTATCTTGAAATGAATTTAGCTTTTCATTTCTTCAACAATCTCATGATGGACAGTTAAGAAAAAAAATCATTTCAGTTCAAAATAGTTTGCAGACATCATATTTTGTATTACATAAAGTCTTCATGTACTTCCTAATATTATGCTTACATTACCCACAATGCAACTTGGTTGCTTAGAGGGTAGTCTGAGATTTGGATGTGGTATGCTAACCTAATCTATTTGCATGCAAAGATGGGCAATGGGCTATTATGTCTGGTAAACTCACTTCTTTCTAATCCCTTTGTTGTTATTTATTTTTTAACCTTAAGGAGATTTTTCACACTTTATTTTCTGAACTACCACAGCGCTACATTATTTGTTCAATCTGTGGATGCCAAGTCATCCTAAATTTCAAGTCGGAGAAAGAATTTCCCTGGACAGGTTTTCATGTGTTTCTATTAATCAAACCTTTGTGTCGAGAATGGGCTCAGGGTAAGTTTCTACAGTGACTGAGTAATCATCCAGGGCAGGCTGTGTGTCCTCCTGAAGATCCTCAAATGTGGGCTCCATCTTCACCGTGACCAGGCTCAGGCCTGGAGGAAGGGCTCGGGTGTCTGATGTGTTAGGGCTCTGCTCAATCACTGTCACACAGTCATCATCTTCAAAAGCTCTGAGCATAAAAACAACATTCTTACAAACAGTCAAAGAGATCACTTGCAAGGCCACGCTCATGTATTTCTATTCCTGTGAAATAATGCAGATACCTGTTTTCATAGGAACGTCCTTCAGCACGACATTCAGTGTGTCTTATGGGGATACCTAGATTCCTCTGAGCTGCCAAAGACATTCAAAATGTAAAGGAATAGTTTGGCATTTTGGCCAACTTGTTTTATTTGCTTTTTGGTGGAGAGAAAAATTGACACCACTCAGAATTTTTACTTTGAGGCAGAGTCAGGCTGTTTCCTCCTGTTTTCAGTCTTTGTGCAAAACTCAGCTAAGTTTCCAGGCTGCTGAGCATTCCACACATTTAGAAAAGCAGCTAATATACTATTTGAGACTCTCTATTTTACAGTAACCTGTTGCCAACATTACCAACAATGCAACTGGACAGCCAACAGTTCTAAAAAGATCTGTAGTTCTAGCTAGTAAATGGCTAATGTAGCTTCGAGCTGTAGCCACAGGCAGAAATATAAGAGATAAGGAGGGTAACATACAGTTTACTTATCAAAGTTGCACATTATTATTTATCTGGCACAAATAAATACTTATACAACTTTCTTTTTAGATATATATCCCAAAACCTGTAAACAGTCGTTATTGGTAATATAATTCACCTTATTAAAAGACATGATAGTGGTATCCATGTTATATCTTAATCTCCACCCTAAAGCAAATAAGCACATTTCCCAAAATGTGATACTGTCTTTTGAAGAATAAAGATTTTTCTGAAGTTTACCATGATCAGAATGTGAATTAGGTGTGCTGACATTTGATGCATCTGAGGATCTCTGACCTGCTCGGACGGTTGGTGCAGCTTCATTCTTCTGGACCACTGCATAGAAGGTAACAGTGATGAAGATGAAGGCCAGAGATACACCCACTCCCACAACGATGGGGATGTCATGTTTCTCCAGCACAGGCAGCCATGATGGAGACTGCTGTGTTACTCTGGAGTGTAAAAAAACAGAAACATCATGATATCTTCATGTTTTTAAAAAGAAAAACTTTGTACAACTTCATCTTCACTAAACCCATCACGCCTCACACATAGCTCACACATGTTGATCTACCTGGGGTCATTGCTGGTCATAGGTGATTGGGAGGTGTTCCTCTTCAGCCACTCTGTAAGTTCTGAGTTATTGCCAGATTTATTCGACTGAACTGGGTCACCTTGCTGGCTGGTATTCAGCTGTACCTGGTCAGACATGTTGACCTGATGGACAACAGGAATCTTAGTTTCCAGCGTTGAAGGATCTGAGGTTTGATGGATGGTTGAGATTGAAGTGTGTTTTTTGTTTTGGAGTGTAAAAGTTTCAGTCTGTACCAGAGGAGATTGTGAGTGGAGCAGTGGATGTTGTGTTGGAGACGAATGAGCAAGCAGAGACATGGTTGAAGTTGACTGAGTGTGAATTGGGTTTTGTTGAGGCTTTGTGAACGGAGAAGTTGGAGGTTCTGAGACAGGTAGATAATGTGGGATAGTCCATAGCTCAAGATGGTACTTCGGAAAAAGACTTGGAGTAAATGTTTGCCGTGTGTCGGATTCAGATATTTGTGAGATGGCAGGTGATGGCTGCAGATCTGTTTTCTGGTGTAAATGTAGACTGTGGTGCTGGGGTTTGGTTTGAGAAATGTGAGTTGAGGTTGGCTCATGGTAGAGTGAGTATATTTTACTTTTGGTAGTCAGTTTGTGTGTTTTTGTTTGGCGCAACTCAGCTTTTGAAGCAGAAGACTGAGTAACTGAACCAGAATGGGTCATCTTAGCTGAGGTTACAGAACTCTCTGTTCTAGTCAATGAATATGAATCCTTTTTGAGAAAGCCAAAGGGTTCACCCAATGAAAGGTTGGACGTCTCAGTAAAGGGCTGTATGATATGACTGGCTATAGACACAGCATGGATGTTAGAGCCCTGAGGATCAGGTTTTATCAACAATTTGTCACTGACTTGCTGCTGAAATTGTGTATGTGGTGATGTTACTCTCAAATGGAACTGACTTTCAGTAAGTAGATATTTCAAAGTTTTACCCAAAGCTTTGTCGGCGGCAACTGATGTCTGGCTGAGTGTTATTGGTGGTTCACTTTTTGAAATCATAAGAGGAGCTCTAGTATGCTGCAGGGGGGAGTAGATATCTACTGACTGGAAGTTGGGATGTGGAGGGGGTAGCAACATAGGAGGCTGCATCTGTGTGACTAACGACTGAGTTGGACTGGTTGTTGGATGATTTGGGTTGTGCTGTAAAAACCAGCCAAGTGATCGGGATGGCATCTTTAGCTCGGCCACTGTTCCCTTTACGAGTGGAGGCGAAGAAGGTGCTCTGTTTGTTTTAGCATCACAGTGGGGTAAGGAGCCTGGAAATAGAACAAAAAAGTTGACAGGAAAAATATGTTTTACTAAAATTTGAAAAACAAAAGAAAAATGCCTTTTTAAGATATGTAAAACTGCCAAAAGACCAGAACTATGACTAATACATTCTATACTTCTACATTTCTACTAAATACAATCAATTGTTAGCAATATTTAGCATCAACGCTGTAACTAAATCAAGTTTCACATAAAAACATAATATTTGCTTGGCTACCCTGGGTGGCCATTTCAATATTGGCCTTTATTTTATCCTGTGCAAGATCTCAGCAATTTCCTGACTATAACAATGTTCTCATAACCCATAGAAGTATTTTTCCATACATGCGGCCTCATGTTGCCACTGTGCCTGCACATGTGGATTATGGGTTGTCCCAAGATGTTGCTCAGCCATAGAGTCACTGGATTGGGACACTGGCAGGTCTTTGCTTGTTTTGGTGCTCTAGAAAATATGAAAGACTCTTAGTTTCAGGACTGGCACAACACATTGATGCTATCAGACATGAACTGAGCAACGAAAAAACGAATTAGCATGTATCATGACACAAATATCAGAGAAGTGATGAAAATTCACAAAATGAAAAGAGCACGCACATTTAAGAATATTTCATAGTTGCCACGAATGAAAACTGGATATAGAGTTCTCACATTCATTTTGGAGCCAAACAGTGTCACACACAATCAGCAGAGATTTGACAATTTCCTGGTTACTCACAGCAAACAAAACCAGTCTTGTCTGTTTGCCTCTATCAGCTGGACGATGTTCAGCTTAAGACAGAGGACAGCATTAAAGACAGCATGGAGGATTAAGTATTTCATATGCACTGTTTCTTCCAATAAAAAAAGAAATTCATATCCAATGCCTTGACAACTAAAGGTAATTTAGTACTTTAAAATGACAAAGTAAGAAAGCAACATTGGCGTATAACTATATAGAGAGTAAGTACTTCAAAGTTAAAATATCTAAGTTGTGTTTTTAGTTGTATGAGGTATTTTCACACTGCAATTGAAGAAGAAACAGTGACATTCTGTTGACACACCTGTGACAGCGAGGATGCTGCGTCTCTGATGTCGTCCGGCTCGGTTTTCAGCAGTACAGAAATATTCCCCGACGTCAGAATACTGCACATTTGAAATATGCAGAGTTCCATCTTCTGCTTGGACCACAAGATATAAAGTAAAATGAATCACAGAGAGCTCAAACAAAGTCAAATCCATTTAAGAAATCTGAGATTATTCCAAGGATGTTTGCTTCCCACCTGATGGAAATAATGGCAAAGTGCCTCTAACCTTTACTTTCACTCACCATCAATGTGTCTATCCTCAATGGGGCTTATGGCTGAATATGTCTCTGCTCTGCCCTGGGTCCAGCTGTACTTGATGGGCTGAAGCCCAACAGCCATGCAGGACAGGTCCACTGCCCCCCCGATCCTGCAGCTAACCCGATCTACGAAGTTCACTATGATGGGACTCACTGGGATGAGAAAAATGTAATGCAATACACTTTTTTACACATGAAGCAATATCAAATATTTTTCTTAAAAGTATTGTGAATATAATATAATGTTGAGAAATGTCATGTATTTGAATTTGACCCCTTAAAAGACTCTTTAACAGGTATTCCTCTAATACAATCATAGAGAAAAAAACAGACTTTACTCAGTAGCAATAGGCTCTATACTGTGAATTGTGCATACAACTTTGAATTTACCAAATTGACTACAAGATTTAAATTGATAACTTTATTGGAGTCTGTATTCAAGTTTTTTTTTCAATCCTACCTCAAGAGTTTTAGGAAATTTTGGAACATTTATGCAAAAAAAGTAAGTTTTGACGGTCCTGACTTGACCTGGACTTCAGCTATTGATTTTGAGGAGTAGTCGACACAATACAATGCATATCAGTTTATGTTAAGATTACCAGCCACTTTCAGTATTGCTGTGTTGCGGCTGTGGCCCAGAGTGTTGGAGGCCTCGCACACATACGCTCCTTCATCGTAGCTCCGCGCTGAATTGATGTACAGTGTGGCATTTCTCAATCTGTATGAGAAATATGTCAATAGTCATTTCACTTCATTTAGACTTTTCTAAGTATTTGGATTGATTGTTAATAGTGAGGGTATGCAAGAATAACACAGTTGCCTCAAGAATCAAAGGTAACAATGATTGATTGATGTACAAATAGTAAATTTGCAGGTGAAGTATCCCTTTAAGTATATGTAATTTCAAGTACTTTATACTGTACCTTCAATCAATTATTTCTAAATGGTTGCTGATCAAACCCAAGCACTTTAAATCAATTGTACCACAGCAAAAACATATTTTTTTAAAGCTTGCAACTAGGCTTGGGCGGTATGACGGTATTACGGTATACCAGGGTATTTGGAAATACCGTCGGTATGATTTTCAATACCGTGACGTCACAGACTGTGCGCCAAATCACAGATCCGTTTCATTCTATTACACTGACACGGAGTTTTGACAGGGACGACATTGGTTGTAATGCACAGCACGCGCCAGCAGAGGGCAGGGGAGGGCAGTCCGTCTTTCCCGCTCTCAGAGCTCAGCACAGAGCTGAGCTGAGCATGATGGCGGCAGCATTTGCCGGCCCCGAACTCGGACAACTAGTAAAAAAGAAAAATGCCTCTGCGCCTGTTTGGGACTATTTTGGGTTTACTCGTCGCCAGTGACTTCATCCAGCACAACGAGAGACAGAGGCACTTCTTTGGGAATGTTTAAGACGGGGTGAGTGAGTGTTGACATGTTTTAATCCTATGCAACTGGTTGATGGTTTTGTAGTCGAGGTCGGACGGTTTTAAAAACGAAAGCATTTACGTGCTAAACATTC